CCATGGTTTTAACTCCAATTGAAGACCAATGCAAGATGCTGAAGACAGTCTTTCAAAAGAAGGAAGCAGAAATCCAGCTTCATAGTCTTGAAGGGTTTTTTTTTGTCCTTTCTCCATTTGATAGAGTAGTACCTGAACATTTGTTCTACTCCAAACTGTCCATAAAGGAGAAATTCCTATGCCTTCCTTGCAAACAGCATGATCCCTGATCACAACAAATTGATTTATTTAAATAAAAATAATGATCTTCTTTCTCTTCTTCAGCCCCAGCAGCAAAATCCCATGCAACCCCGATCAGCAAATTGATATACTTATCTTCTTTGCCCTCCTTTCTTGAACCCAAACAATACCACCCTGATCTCCAAGTAATAAGAAAATGATTTATGCAAACAAAAATAATTATCTTTCTTTGCTCCCCACCCTCTGACTGTATAATCTCAGCAGCTCCTTGCTTAACAAATTGAATTATTTAAATTAAACAAATGATGATCTTTCGACATCTGTAGAGCACCTTTGTGGCAGCCCCCTACCACTGCCACCACTTTACCCATATGCTTAGAAGGATTTATTTTAAAATATAGCAGTATTTCTAACTAACCTTGATACTTTGTGATTGCATTAGTCAAGCTCATGGGAGCTCTGTTACTGTGCCATGAAATTAGGACACATCTCCTCTGAAAAAATAATAAAAGTAAGTTAAATAAGTTACCTTCCTCCATATTTTTTATGGCAGGGATAAATATTCATTTAATTTCCCAGGAGGAACTCTGCCGGAGGTGACTGTATATGGTTTACCTATACCCGTCTTTATCACTGTGCTGCCCACAAGGTTGTTTGCAGGCAGACCTTTGAAGCATTTGGAAACTTGGTGCACAAGTATGTGCTACACCACCACCTCACCTAAAACACTGGTAGAGCCACCTAGTGCCAGTGCTTCGTGACAAACACCAGCAACAGCTGATGGGTGAGATCATGAAATCCAACGGTATCATCCATTATAGAACTGTAGAATCAACTAGGTTGGAAAAGACCTTTATGATCATCAAGTCCAGCCTTTACCCCAGGACAGCTTTAAGGGTCTGTCAAACCAACTTTGTATTGTAAGGACTCTGGCCTGTCACTGGCAAAGCTTTCATAGGCAAGAGGAGAGACAGAATCCTACTTAAGAACCCTTGATGTGGTCTTTTTGTAAAAACCTTCCATGTTAGATAGTCCTGAAGGTATATAAATGCATTTATATGTATATATATGTGCATTTTTTACTGTGCTAGTTTTATTTAAGATTGTATTTTCTGTGCTGTCCAACCAGTATCTCTGTTTTGTGCAGCTGCTACTTAAACAGTCATTTTGGCATTATACAGAATTACATAATTATATGTGCCATAAGCAAAAGTGCAAATAGTCCCACTTAACACCTAATCATATGATATCTGTTGAGAAATGCTGGCGAAGATATGACTGTTACTTTGCTATTAGCTCTGGTTCTTTGGAGTATGGGCTGCAGCTGGGATTTGGCATAGATGGAAGAGGGATTAAGTGATAGTGGGAGCCTGAGTGAAATGTATATAGAAACATTCTTTCCTCGACCAGTTTCTGTGGTGTGCAATACTCTGAGAAAGACACTGGTGTTAACCAGTCTTCCAGATTGTGAAATACTTGGTTTTCTGCAGTTCTTTCACACTGTCTACTTTTCTTTCAGATCCACTTGTGTTCTCCAATGGAAGGCAGTGACATGACACAAATGGTAGCATGAGATTCTTACTGTTCCATTCAATAATTGATTCTCCTGGATGGATTATAGCTCCTCAAAGGTTGCAAAGAGAAGTAAGAGTGATTGGAGAGCATCAAAACCATTAGTTCCTTACCAAAGCCAGAAAGTTTTCACTCACTTGGATTCTTCCCCTTCAAGGTCTAGAGCTCCTTGTGACTGGAAATTCACTGGAAAATTGTTGAGGTACTATTAACAACTTGTTTTCTTCTTTCTTTTTCAGTACTTTTAAGTGGGTTTTGTAATGTGAACACTGAATTAGAATTCACCATGTGGAAAAACAGGTTGTGTCTGTTTATATGATTTCCACAAACTCTCCATAGGAAATCCAAATGACCAAAAACTGGTCATGAAGTTGCAAAATAGAAATATAGATACATCTGAAGGTTCTCAAATCCCACCTTTATATTTTAAATATATTATTAATTCTTCCAAAAGCTGGATAATTAAGATTTTTTGCATCTGAACACATTTGGAGATAAGAGTCTCAAAATATACTTGGATATTTGATTAAGAAAATTCAATCTCGTGAAGCTTTGGGCTCTGATCCTCACCTTGCATAACCTTTACTCCTGACTTGGAGACTAAAACTGAGGTGAGACTCAGTCTATATGGTTATGCAAAAAATGTTCCCATGAAAGAAAATAATCATCTTGTTCTGAAATTATATGTGGAAGATTATGGCTTGGAGCCTTTTAAAAAAATTGGCCTGTGCTTGCCAGAAAGGCAAGTATTTCTGCAGATGGCTTTGAATTAGTAGGACATGAAATAATGTCAATGGTACTGGTAAGAGGATTAAACTACAGTTCTGACGTTATTGAACAGTTTGCAGAGACCATATTAAACAGCCACATCAGTCCACAGGTCAGCCTTGCAGTTCCTCTGCTAAGCAAACACAGATGTGGAGTTCCCTTTCATGGTCATCATTTCATGCCTTTGACAGATGTTAGGCTCCTGGGACTAAATGGCATATTTACAGCCTGAACATTAAAGATACTGTTGTTTTAGATCATTAGTGGACACCGACTCTTCATCAGTAGTAAAAGGAAAAAGCAGGAACTCAGGACACTGGGATGCACTCCAGTGCAATACACACGTATAAGTGGAAAACTAAGTTGCTAGAAAGTTCCCTGGTGAAATATTGGTGGCTTTTTCAACTTGCTGACAAAAATCCTCCTTAAGAATCCAGTAGGTTTTACATCTCTTGTTCTTTTGGGTTGATCTTCCCTTTATTTTGCCAAAGCTGTCTATGGAGTTGCAGTGGTTGAATTTCACAAAGCAAGAGCTGTTCAGCTCATGTCAGCACTGCCAGGCCTCTGTGCTTGTTCAAAGTTTGTGTAAATCTGCTGGGACTACAAATTGGCCAGAAGAAATTGAGGGAACGGTCTGTCTTACAATATTCCTGTTCCTTTTCTATTCCAACAGAAACTTTGGCAGTTCTTTAACATTTTCCTCGGTTTTTTGTTTGTCTGAAACCAGGAGTGTGAAATGAAGAAAATAAACAAAGCGACTCTGTGATAAGCAGGGGAGGGTTTATACACACATAATGCATATTCTTGTGTGTGCGTAGTGAGGGCAAGGTGGGAGAGCTTCTTGTTTTTGTGAATGGTTTTGCCTGGATCAATCCTGAAAACTTGTGCAGTTTTCAAATACAGGTAGAATTACAGGTAAGCTATGTGTCAGGGTAGAGCTCCTGAATGTAGAGGTTATTGACAGAGAATTTTTATAGAAAGGGGAAGACAAATCAGCTGATAAATTACAGAGACTTTGGTCAATAATTGTTTCATATGATGCAAATTTTGAGTGAAATTTTCAGCATACAGCTGCTCTGTGTGCAGCCACTTCTTCCTGCTAAAGGAAATAAACACGCAACCGGAGAGTGTAGCAATGAATTACATTCCACCTCAGAAATGCTTTAGCATGTCTTCAGGAGCGGCTGCCTGCTTCAGTGATGGATTATAGCTTAGCATGGGATCCCACAGGCATGGCAAGGTATTTATGTAGTGTTCTGTTTGCTCAGACACTTGGAACAAATGTACAGTCAGTGCTAGCAGAAATCACAGTATCACTAGCTCCCACTTTATTTCATTTATTTATATTTAGCAAGTGCTGGAATATTACAAACCACCAAGCGCAACTGGAGCTGGAATATAGCTTCCAAAGCTTATTTACAGTAGGTCTTACTAACAATGGTGAAATGGTATATTACTTTTTAAGTAGTGCCATTGATTTCAGGGGGTCCGTTAGAGGGAGGTTCCATTCCTCATGTAGCTGAGCGTATGTTGATTTGGCCTCGTGTGAAATGTCAGAAGAACTCCTTTACTGCTATGCTCTTAAATGCATGAACAGTTTGAAAAGAGCCCTACCCCTGGCCCTCACCAAGAAGCTAATAATAGTGCAAAATATGGATGGGGCTGCCAGGGTGCTGGTTTTGCAATATTTCGTGGCTTTGCAGGAAACAGCAATGCATGCTCCTCAGTTAGTACATAGATGGATGTGCATTCCATGTGCTGTTTTCCACTCTGTACTTAAACCAATACAAAATTCCAAGGAGAAGATTCACTTCAGTAGCAAAGAATGTCAGGTGATGTTGATTTAAAGAAAACATTAATCAATCCAGATTTGCTTGGAACTGGGCCCAGGTTCACTCAACAGGTTGGTGAACCTTAGCAAATGTTTCTGTGAATCTGTTGTGTGTTTTGACTTTGTAACATGATCTGAAATCATCTGAGTTTCATGTGGTTTTGTTGCGCATGTTTTGGAGCGCTTGTGGGTGAATTTAGGGAGATGTTGTATTTTGCATGATGCAGTAAGGTAAGCAGTATTTCACTTTTAGCGACACTCCCTGAGACCAAACTGAACAACGGTTGATGCTGTCAGCATAGTTTTAAAAGAGATTACCACTGTCTGTCAGTGTTCCAGTGTCTACGGTAGTTTTTATTTCAGAGCCAAGAGACAGTCTTCAAATTGTATTGTAAATAACGGTATCATTAGATTTAGCTGTTACAATTTTTTCCCTGTTTCTGATAAATGTCAGAATTTTTACTGCTTAGGCATGTGCTGAGTATATTAGGTTTCCTGATGTATACTGGTTTAGAGAAGTTATACAGTGCTAGAAAAAAAATTGGACTTTATTTTGAGCCTGTGGATGAGCAAATTGTGTTCTAATTACAGTTTGTATCTGAATTCATAAATAGGTATACCCATCCTCCATAAATGAACATAGTTTAAGATTAATCTTCCCCAATCAGGTGAAAACCATTATGAAATGACCCTTTCTATTCATTTTTTTTCTAGTCCAAGCTAGAGCCCAATAGAGGTGTGAGACACTCAGCACAAGGAACAGAGTCTGATTCATCAGAGGATGTCAAATTCTGCATTCCACTTCAGAGTGAGCAGCAGAATCTTTTTGCTGGAGTTGGGATTTTGGAGAAAAAGACTGGTGGGAGGATCTGTTCATTTTCTTTTTACACTGTTTTACTGCCTCATAATTGAGACATATTTGTAGATCAGTGTTATGACAAGTAGCTTAGAGAAAAGCAGAAGGATTCATAGAGGGTGGGTCAGTGAGTGTAGCTTGGCTTGGCATATATACAAGGTCAGGCTAGGTAATTTCACTGTCTCTTCTGGTCTTAAACTCGAGGAATCTCTGAAGAAGGAAAAATCAAAGTCTGCAAAGGTAATGAGTAAGAAAAAACCATAACAGGCTGGAGTGTCCTTTAATACTCCCAAGGTTCTGCCCCTCCTGACCTGTCAGACTGTGGCACAGCCATGAATTGAACAGTCCTGTCAGTCCATTCAGAAGTACAGTAGGAAGGAAGAACAGTTTGCCAATAATATTCAAGTTGAAGCTGACATCTTTATTCTCCTCGGGAAGAGTTGTGTTTGCACCTGCTTCTATCATTGCATTTTTCCACTAAGGTTGTCTCACTTATTTAACTTGACACATGGAGCACCCCTCAGAGGTCTTTGAGATTCAAACCAGCATCAGAAGTGACAGCCCAGATAACGTAGGTAATCATATCGGAGCTTGTGGGACTGCACTGACTATTTTTTAATTGATAATTCCAAGTTTCTATAATAAATTTATTTCTTAATTATGTACGCCATGTCATACATGGTAGCTAATGATTACCAGTAGTTTTATGTTTGCAGCCTAGAAGATATCCTCTTCCTTAACATGTAATCATGACTTTCCTTCCAAATTAAGATTTTCTGAGAAAGAAAATAAACAAAGCCTACACATTAAATACAATTCCTTCCAAATAAAGGAAGATAAATTTAAGGTATTAAATTAAGTGATTTTAATTAGCTGATCATTTCAGGAAGATCATAAAACGTTTAAATAACAGCAAAGTTATGTATATTTAAGCAGTTTTATGGAGAATTAAAGTCTTAAATGGTAAATATAAAATGTGAATACAGAAGTCGATAGAGGAATGTTAATTGCTTTTTCTAAGTTTCTCACATGGCCTGGGATGTTATGAGAGGTATCGAGAATTACATTTGTAGTAATAATGTGCTCAATCCAAAGCTTATTAAAGTCCTTGGAATTTTTCCCTGGATTTTAGCAGTCATTGTATGAAAACAACAAATGTTTTCAAATGTCTAACGTCCAATACTGTGGAAGTGGAAGTTACTTACATGCCAGAATTATGTATGTGATGTCAGTATTCTAAAATAATTGTAAATTTCTAATTGAAGTTTCCTTTTAGAAGCCAAGAAATTTAAACAAACTGACCTTAAGAACTTACCCAGTTCCCTTTTAAGCAAATAAAATTACATTTGCAGTTTACATACTAGGAGAAGCTGCAATGACGGCGCAACAAAATGTGTCAACGAACTCTATTTATCATGAACATGAATTTGCATGTCTGTTCATAGCTCACTAGAACTCTTCATTAGAGTACTACATTATAGTTTGATAATAATCAAATGCACAATGTTTGAAACTAATCAAATTCAAATCAGTTGTAGTAAGGCTGTAAGTCAGTCATGATGTATACATTTGTCTAAACTCATTGTAAACCACTTGGAAATGAATATCCCATTGGAAGGAGAATCACAGAAAGTGGACATCAGCAGAAGGTTTCCTTAATTCCTTGAAACTATTTGTTGTTCTGGGAGAACCTGAAAGAACCATGGCCACATCTCTTCCAGCATGAGTATCAGGATTTGGATGGAAGTGGTAGCTCTCCATGCAAGCATTTTACTCCATGTAGACATAGGAATCACGTTGCAGGGACAACTGTTCCACCAGCAGTGAAAAAGGAGTGGGATTGCCATCATCTGGGTTTCCTTATGACTACATTGTTGTAACTGTACAAGGAACAAATAATTTAAGGGACTTGTAGTTCCGACTGCCCAAGGGAAGAACCAAGAAGAAACAGTTTTTTTCTCCACAACAGGTTTACCCCCACCACTGGAATGATTTATTTCAGAATTTAGTAGTAGATCAGAAAGTGCAGCGTTTCATAGAACCATAGAACAGTTTGTGTTCTATGTTTAAGGGACCTTAAAGCTCATCCAGTTCCAACCCCCTGCCATTGGCAGGGGCACCTTCCTCTAGACCAGGTTTCTCCAAGCCCCTGTGTCCAACCTGGCCTTGAACACTGCCAGGGATGGGGCAGCCACAGCTTCTCTGGGCACCCTGTGACAGCACCTCAGCACCCTCACAGGGAAGAACTTATTCCTAATGTCTAACCTAAATCTCTTCTTTGTCAGTTTAAAGCCATTTCGCCTTGTCCTTGTTTGTTTTTATTTGATCAGTAGTGAGACAACTTCCATTGCTCTTTATTGTAAAAAGGTGTCCTGACGCAGATGAATGTGCCCTGGCAGGTAACCTGGGGTGAGGTACCCATGTGTCTGGTGTCTCAATGGCTGGAAGAGGTGATGCCTGACCTTAAAGGCTGTATAGAGCCACCACAAGCATTTCTGGGACAGGGACGTGCATGTATCATAGTTCAGCCTTATGGAGAAGCTGCCCTGCCAGTCTGCGTGAGAGAAAGGATGAAGCCATTGTAAACCTGGTCTTTTCTTCTTCAAAGCATGTAACATTATGCACAGTCTGAGGCACGCGATCTAGGATGTTGCTATGCCTCTGTTTCTTCAGCTGTTGGATGGGGATATTATTATGCTCTTGTCTCGGATGCTGAGAGGGTTAATTAATTATGCTTATGAAACCCTTTGAGATTCTCAGATGAAAGGTGGCTTTAGAATTGTTAGGTGTTATTATAAGAAAAAAGAATGATTTTATTGCTTCATGTTAATGGTTAACATCTGCACCACAAAACCTGCTTGATCACATAAAGATTCTGCTAAGCATTTAATCCTAATTTGCAGGCTGATGCATATTCATTTTATTTAGAAGATTAATTTAGTCATCAAAGGTTAATCTGCCTCGGGTTTGTAATTAGACAGAGCAGTGACTTGGCGTCTCTGGGCTCACCCTGGTTGCACTGGGTTTTTGGGGTAGGCAGGGCTGTAACTGTCACCAGTTTTCACTTCCAGCTACTGCTTGGTGAAGGCTTAGTTTTTGGAGAAGTTAAATGGTGAATGGGGAAAGCGTTGGCCAGTTCAGAGATGAAAAACAACAGGAGATGAACAGGCAGATGAACAATCCCCGTGAAGTGAATCTCAGAATGCTGGTGTTTACTCAATGAGATGTCAGGGGACTAAGTGTGTGTGTGTGTGTGTGGGGGGTAATATCTGTATGTAAAAATGTTTAACAGATTTCACAATACTTTGCTGTGCGAATCCTGCCCCTTACACAAAATTACTGATTAGCAGTATGCAGAAAGTGTCTGAAATGGAAAACTGTGAGGCTTTCTGCTGAACATGTCAGATTTTAACGTTTAGCTGATGTTAGGAGACACTGTTAGAAGGCTAACGTGGCGTGTGACAATATGACCTGTATCTGCTTGTCCCCCTGAAAATTAAGCCTTTTGTGCTCAAGGTTGGCTCCTTTAATCAAATGACACTAAAGAAAATGTGGTCTTTGTGGAGAATGAAAATGATGTTTCCTTCGCAGGTACACCAGAAGGCATCTTTAATTACTGTTTATAAAGCTGGCTGTTACTTAAGTGTGAAGGATTATTAACGGCATGGAGTTGTCTTTTGAAGTAAGGAAGAACAGTTGCTGCTGCTTTGTCATGCCCTTACCTTTCCCCCGTTGCAAAGCAGAGGAGGGTGATCCAAGAGGGTGTGTGCTGCATGCTGCTGTGCTTCAGCAGTGTTGTTAGACAGCGAGGCAGCCTCCAGCTGCAGAAACATTGGGTGATGGAAGGCCAGCACAACGCGGAACGTGCTCAGCCTCACTGTACTAGTGTGTCTATAAAGATGTGATCAGTGGAGATAGGGTTGTCAAAGGGCAGCTGTGTGACTTAGTGATCCAGCTCAGGCTGGGTCCTTGGGTGGGAAGTTCAGTGTGCTGGACAGGAGTGAGAAGGTGCAGGTGAAAACCCTGCAAAGTGAAAATTTGTCTTAAGAATAGTGCTTTACTCAAAGTGAAATCAGTACGTGCTGTGAAATAAGTACTGCAAACGAAAATCGTGATACTAGAATTTAGGAAGTTGGCCAAACTTTTACATTTCAATGCAGCTTGGCGTTGTTTGAGTTCAGAATCCAGATTCTAGGAGGTTTTTGCTTCCCCCCCAGCTCAGTTCTCACATCTCTATTATTATTTGCCAGTTTCCCCCTCCTCTTTCTGGTGCAGAACCTGAGAAGCATCCAAGAAGGGATTTTGGAGACCATAAACAGATTCTAATTGAGAACAGCCCTAAGTCAAGTTACGTGCCAGCTTGACTATCAGAATATAAATGAAACCCTCATTGTATTGTATTTTAATTACTGTGAAGAACAAGTGGCCTAACATGACAAAGCTTTTAACTTAGCAGTTATTTGATAGCTGGTAAGGTAATTTTAGATGGACGATTACAGCTGTGTCTTCTTGTCTTCTTTGCTTTCATTTTTACTTACCTAATGACTGTTCACTGATTTGTCATTTAGACTTGAGGTGAACTTCTAATTCAGTTGCTTATAAACTGAGAGGCCTGTTATTGAAATCAGACTTGCTATTTCCAGTTTAAAGGGCAGAGAAGTTTCTGGTGTTTTGAAGGAAGTTAAGTGTGTTTTGGATGATTTGCAAGCTGCAGGGTGACCCACTGCTGGTCAACTGTAAGCACTTGTCACTTTGTTCTTTACAATGAAGATAACCAGCCATGCCATGAGAGTGTGTGGTGGCAATTCACTGCAACTGGGGGGAAAAGAAAAACCCAAACAGCAAGAATACTTGTCACTCTAAGCAAATGCTGGAACAGTGTTAGTTACTGTTAAATCATTCAAGCCCTTCTGTTCTATGTAAGAGACTTAGAGTGAAATTAAACACACGTTTGCCACAGATTTTAGACTGTTTCTGCTTAGTTGCCTCCTCAACCTGAGCCTTTAACAGCTTCACTTGCATCTTAATCTTGAGCTGATTTGTATGAATGGTAGATAGGTACTACGAAAATGTGGATTGTGAGCTTCATCTGTCATCCCTGCCACTGTATCCCTGACTTCAGTGAGCTTCCAGAGGAATGAGTCTGGCCCGCAACACGATGTGAACTGTCAAGAAGACAAACCTTGTTCTCATCCATTTGAAATGTTTGTGGGAAAGAATGCCCTAAATATTTAGCAGGTTGTGTAATTTGAGAGGCAGTGCAGGTTTTTTTTTTAATTTTATTTTTCCCCCTACCTTTCCATTTTCTTTATTAAATAGAGGAAAACCTTGCCTTAGGCCCAGTGTGCTTATGACAGGGAAAAAAATACCTGCCAGAATCTCCATTATTGCTCAGGCCTGTATATATTGTTATTGCTCTTGTATTTGTAATAGCAAAAGGTGACTATGCCTTTTATGAAAAATTCTGTTTGCAGAAAAATAGCCTCTTCCCTGCACCTTTCCCAAACCCAGCACAGTGCATAAAGAATCCGGGAGGGTTTCTGTTTGCTCAGTTAATGCAGCAGGGCTCATAGCAGCATGTGTGTAAGGACTGGTCTCGTGTGCAATAGCTGGCCACTGGAGTGACGTGCCTGAGTGATGCAGAACTTGGAATCAGGAGGAAGCAGAGATGTTTTAAGCCAGTTTGGCTTCCCTTCACTTGACTCCTTTGGAAGTCAGTGCAGCTGCAAAAAGAGTGTCAGTTAAATCTCCTAGAGACCACCCTATTTTCTGGTGATCAGGAAACCTAATGTGGAACTTGAGTGCTTCAAGCTTCAGATGTCCCCGCTAAGGTCCCCTATTTCAGCACTCCTGAAATGCAGCCAAACTGATTGCTTGCAACAACCACCAACAAAGATCTTGTCCCTTCATATTTAGACTGCAGGGAGCTGCAATGAGTCATCCTTGGGTGGAGAGGGAAGATCCTCCACCCAGATTGCCAGCTCAAGCTTGCCACTGGTTTATCTTGTGGTCTTAGGCAATGTGTTAAGTTCTGCTTCTGGAAGACCTCAGGGTTAAACTCTTAAATCAAAATTGCATCGCCCATCACCACTATATATTCATGTCTGGCTGCTACCCATTGAAGTCATATATGTGCTAGGACCCTGAGAGACACCCATGTATGTACGTTAGCTGAGGGTTTTTACATTTGACACATAGAAAGGCATAGCACAATGCTCATGAATAATGCTGAGTATGGGGATAGTCTCTCTGCACTCAGTGGGGCCATTCATATGTGTGCTTAATGGAAGGTCCCAGTCTGTCTATGCAAAAGCTCACATTTATGCACCATTGAAGCTGCATAGCACTGCCCACGAAAGTCAGCATTTTTTAAATGCCTTTTTTTAAAAGCCTTCTAAAAGAAGGCTTTTAGAGCATTCTTACCATTCCTCCCTTGTGCAGGATGATTTTGAAGCAGAGTTTTTTTTTCTTTTTTGAATAGGATAGTTTAGGCTGTAGGTCCCTGACAGTGGTATCTTTCTCTCAAATAACTATGCCAACCCCAAGACTGGTTGCTGGTACCTTCAAAGGATGAGAAGCCAGCACCTCTGTTGGCTGGCAAGCCTTCTGTGCTACTGGGTGCTTCTCTTTCCCAGCAGAAAGAACTGTGCTTTCTGCCTTTGCCCTTGCCTAAGGGTGAGTTGTCCTTATTTACAGTTACCCTATGGGCACAGGAAGTGATATTATATAAGAAATCATTTTGCAAGCCTATTTCTACTAACCATTGCCACTCCTACCATAATAGCAGACAGTTTCAATATACACGATTCATGTTTCTGTTATTTTTCTGCTACAGTTTGCATGTGTTTTCCATTTAATTACAGTATATGAATTTTGTGTATCTCATTTTTTCCCTTCTTGCATTCAAAGTTGAATTTGATATCTGTGATATACAGATAAGCCTGTGGTAAGTCGTTTGATGCACTTTACCGTCTTAGGTCTGAGTCTCTGCAAATCTCTCAAGTGTTCTGAATATTTTCCGGCTTTGTTGGTGATGCAACAGTATCTGGGATACTACTGTAGTGGTTTCATTAGAGGGAAGAGTATCTCAAGCATTTAAAGAAACTTTGCTTAACAACATTAAAGACACCGAAACTTGTCATAACCTTTTAGTTATTAGAGAACTCTGCGTCATTATATCTCAAAGCAAATTGCAAAGGACTGTGGAGAGGGAGAAAACTGAGGTGTTATGTTAAGAGGTGACCAGGATACTACCAACAGAGTAGTTACAACACTGAAATAGGACCAGACTTTTGTGACTGAAACATTCAATGAGAAGCATGTCTCAAAATAATTTTTGCTTGGTGAACTTGTGGTGTGCTACTCATTGGATTCTTTCTTTATCAATATGTATTACCATGTTTGAATTGAGCTTGTTGTAAAGCTTTAAAAAGGAGATTTCAGTTCAAGTTTTGCATGAAAGAGGCCAGCTAAGATGGACAGAAACAGGATTTTCTGATAGCATTCACTCAATGTTTGTTCATATTGTATTTTAAACTGAATTACTGGAAATCTTGCTAACAGTGAGCTCTGCCTTCTCTGTAACTTTCCATGTGTTTCAGAAAGAGTTGAATTATTCTGCCACTTACCAAGAAGAAAAAAAACAGTATAAGAGCATTGCCTTAATGTATGTGTTTGGATTTACATTGCCATCCTGAAAGCAGAATTTTCCCATGTGAATGTAGAAGTATCATGGTGACTCTCCCCAGCTAATATTCAAGTCTCACTTTTTCTGAGCACATTGTCTGGGTGTAATGTCTTCTATGAATCGATCAACTGCACAAATGACACGTATTAAAAAAATGGGTAAATGCCTACTTAGTTAACACATAGCCCACAAAGGTTTTGAAGGCTTTA